AATGAAAATATTTAGCCAACTCAGCTTTTATTACGATTTGCCTATTTGGCTACAGAACAAGCAATGATACCGTACGTAGCTTTTTTACTAAATTTGGAATGAAAATATTGAGCAAACTCAGCTTTTATTAAGATTTGCCTATTTGGCTACAGTATGACAGCATATTTAACACTGATTAATATATTTACTTTCTTACTTCAATTAAATGGTGTTCTATTTTTATAATCAAATAAAAAATCTCTATGCAAGGTTCAAATTTAGAGTACTTTATTGATGAAACGAACATCAATTTTTGACTTCATTTTTACCTAGCGTTTACAATCTTCTGTCTCCTTTATCACTGAGAAGATTAATGATCTTTGATCCCATCTTTGATCTACTCTGTTTGATCCATTTGGGAGAAGTTTATCAACAGACAATAATTCTAAAATTAGTTACGAGCTGTCGAATTGCAAATTCTGAGAAATACCTTGTTAAACTTTGGACCTGGCCATGAAAAATAAACTTGGAATCATTCTTCTATTGTTTCTTTAGAACAGGCAGATATTATCATAAACAAAAGCTTTAACCTTGCATTCAACCTCTATCTTTAGACTCCAGGACCATTTGGTCCTCCTTAATGTCATATCACTGTACAGTAGTCTATAGACCCCCTTTCGTTGTTTACATTTTCCTGGCAAAGACACTGGCGGTGCACTCCTGGTAAGCAAGAAAATCGGCTATGACAGGCCAGATGCACAGTAAATCAGAAAAATGATTCTTTCTTTTTGTTGTGCTGAAAATATGAAAGCTACTGTATAATAAAAATCATAGATGGCATATAGGGTAGTTATATATTAACAAAAAAAAAATCTAAGAAATTTTTATATTTTTATTAAATTATTAAAGTCATTTTGCAAGTGCGAGCGCGCTTGGCCAAAGAAGTGAAATAGTGTGGCGACACTACCTATGCCAGTATGAGGCCTATGAAAAATTCATAGGCTCTCATAATTTCTTAGATTTTTTTTTGTCCATTCCTAATAATATATAACTATGCCATGTGAAATTCATCTAATAGCTTTCATGTTTTTTGGCACAAAAAAAAAAAAGAAGAAAAGATAAGCAGTTTTCTGATTTCCTTGCCTACCACAGCTGGGAGAGTGCACCGGCATCATCTTGGCCCGTCCAATGTAAACAACAAAAAGGGTCTACATTATTAGTTCTTGTTTAAAATGATTCCTATTTGCAATTTGCCTAACATGAGCAAGGAATGTCACTATACCTACATTCTGTACTCCCATCTAAAAGAAATGTGCAAGGGGACAGGGTACATAATTACTCCACTAAACACCTCAATGACCTGCATATCCCTATCCTAGACAAACTGAGCCAGTTTCATGAAGTGGAGACCTGACATCACTAATGTCCTTATTACACAGATACTGTAAGCCAGTTCTAATAAAACTTCCACCATGGGGTAGGGAAGTCTCCACTAATGCTATGATGCCTGCGAATCTAACTATGCATCATGGGCTGGGGACGTCACTCCACTAAGGTTTTAATGATACCTCCACCCTAACTAAATGAATTGTGGTAAGGATATTGTTACATTACTCCATAATGTCCTGGTTCTGCAATACATCTTATTCTGAATAAACATACAACATGGGGTTGGGATATCATTCTGTCCTATGACACTCATACACAGTATTCCCCTCCCCTGCCCCTAAAATTCTGGGGAAGGAGTGACACTTCACTAAGATCCTGATCACCTGCATATCTTGATTACTACAAATATACAGTACAATGCTATACAGAATTTCCACATCATCATAATTGTCTTCATCTTTTCTGCCTAAAAACTGTAAAACATAATTTTGCAACAAAAGATATTTTCATGAATATATGGAATGCCATTAAAGAATACCAAATTGTAGTGGTTTCTTCATTATTCAATGATAATGTAACTGTATTTTCCTATGATGAACATAAAATATTGTAGTGGTTTTTTTCATTCAATAAAAATGAATACTTTGCCATAAAAAAAATTGAATATTGTTTAGTGTTTTTTTTGGGATTCAATACCAACCACTATCAGACATAAATAGCAATGTCCCAAATGGCGCCCCATATCACAAAGCTTGGCATGTATTTATAAACCCACAAAATGGTAGCAAATCAAAAAGTACTATTGTTGAGCAAGAAATGATTAACTACCATGCTTTTATCACATGTTCCTCGAGGAATTGTTCTTACCCTTTCATCACCACTCGAAATAACTATGTTTCCTGAGTCATGATATTTTTTTTATCCCCTCACAAAGTAAAACAAAACCAAATAAAAATTCATTGTTTACCACTCTCTAAATAAAATACCACCACAGAGATTCTGAAGCGATGGGACTTAAAAATTCCACCAATCAATGAATAGTGTGACCACTGAAACTGAATGGTACAAACATAGAATGGACAACAGTGAGTCACCCCTGCAGGGATGATGGTACAACCTGTCACTGTTTTGTGTTCCACTTTCCCTGATGTTTATATTTTATCACATGGAGGTTGGTAATTTGTGCTGGGAAAATACTGTAAGGCCAAAAAAAAAAAAAAATTAGTTTCTCATCCTAATATTTTTTGAAAAAAGAAAATGAGGGCACTTATTTTTCTTATTTTTTTTTTTACTCCGACATAGCAAATCCAAGATGGTCGATGGGAAACAGCTACTAATTTCTCACTTTTACTAAGTGGTCTAAGCAAATAAAAAAAGCACTAGACATGATTCATATCATGTATCCCCAACCACAAACGATCAAGAGAGGAATTTTACTGATGCGAGTTAGACAGATTTTCGTACATTTCATAAAATAAACCAAAAAAAAAAAAAAAAAAAAAAAAAATTGGTGAGGCAGATACATACTGAGAAACTATTTTTTTTTTTATTTGGCCTAACATCAAGTAAATGATGTTTGTACCACATCCTGTTGCAGAATAGATACAATTAGTACATTGATAATGATCATAGTACTTGTTTATTAATAATGTATTTAGTGATAAAATATAGGGGGCTACTGCATGTCCATATATGGATATAAAAAGTAAAAAAGTAAGAACAAATTGTACTAATATTTGGTTAAGCATTTTCACATCTCCAGTTCATTAACTGTTTTGAGAAATTCCGGAATTCACACACACCCATGAATGCTATGAATTGACACTGCCCGTTTCACAAATGAACAATAAAATAATAAAAACTAGTTACTGTACTTCTCTGCTACATTTATGTCCTAGCATATTGTACTGTATTTATTTATTTTTTTTTGGATTTGCTAATTTGGGGGGGGGGGGGGTGAGGGGTGTCACAAAATTGGAAGAAGCCACTTCCTTTTTACTTCTGGGTAAATGCTGAATGCTCATTAAAAAGCATTAAATTAATTGGTATTTAGGCCTAAAGAAATTCTGACGTGTAGGGCTGGTGTTTCGTCGATTGTCCTTGTTACAGTACAGTACCACGAAAAATTTCAATGGAAGAATGATGAGTAATGATTTTAATGTATGAAATACTCATCCAGTAATTTTCAATTGCAATTTTATCATATTTATATTCTCAATAATAACTCATGTTTTATAGTAGGCCAACAATTTTATGTTCTCTTTTGGCTGTAATGTTTCGTTTTGTTTCCTCTTTCTTTTTTTCTTCTCTCTTCTTTCCTTTGTACTCTGTCCAATCCCTTGTCATTTAGGTCTACGTAAAGAAAGTTATCTTAAGGAGTTTTCTAAATGTTTCCCTTTATCAATTATTGTTAATGTTCTATAAATTAATAATATGTTTAATGAATAAAAGTGGCTTTTAATAATAGTAATACAGGTATGATCAAATAGTTTCATTTGGTTTTGTACCGGTATATTTTAAATATTTTTAGATAAATAAACCAAATTAGTTGATGTTAATTTACAGGAGTGTTAATGGGATACCGGTATGGTGTCAGCGCTGAACACCATCGTTCTACACAAAATCCGAATATTATTGTTATAGGGAAAGTATCTGAAAGTCTGTCATAATTGTTTGTGATAAGGGATTGGCCCGATCAAAGCTAAATTAGGAAAGAGAAAGCCACTAATTATTTGGTACACTGTTTTAATTATCAAGCACAAACAATGAAATTACTTTCTAGCGTCTAGACAATCATTGGTAACAATCGTTATCAAACTTTCACTTATGACTAAGACAACGACTATGCACATTATGTCGGATTGCTTAATATTTCGAAGGACCACCACCACTCACTTGTTTATTGTCTCCACCCACAATACAATTTTGTACAACACACAATCGTTCAAACTCGTTCAGTTATTTCACTTACCAGACCACGAAAAACAACAGCACTGATGAATAATGGAATTATGATGAATATAGGTTTTGTCATGGTGTATTTGCGGTTGTAAATAAAGAGGAGTGTCACACAGATTTCCACATCTGTCCAGCAGCAGGCCCCCACAACGTCTGGGTCTGGTGGGTCGCGATTTTCCCAATCGCGAAAGCTTCCATCCAACTTTTCCACAGGCTTTCCCAACTTGTCAAGAAACAACGGTCACTGCCTACAAAATCCATGATCTCTTCTCACAACAGACTGTATGTTCAGTAAAATGTCGGAATGTTCGGCCAATATCTTTACACATTTGCTAGAGAATTCCAACAAACTGATTATTACCGTATAAAACAATTTCCTTACCATGAAAACTACTCACTCACCACTACCACCAACTCAGCTAACTCACTTTTTCCCCGGCAGTGGAATCTCTCTCTTCGTACGTACGTGAGGAGAGATAAGAATACGTCGTGATCGCGGTTTGCACAGTCTTAATACCTGATACTACCCTGTTATTAATATATCTATAAAATCAGTTTTTATATAATTTTGATTGTGCCTTTTTAAAATCATACTAAAAACTAGGTATATAGCTAAAATATTGAAAATGGTAGTTAGAATAATCATTATTTACGATTTATCCATCTTTCTCTATGATTTTTATCCGAGTCCAGTTCGTTGGGTCCGTTCATTACTTGTCAAAACAAGATAAATTTTCGTCCGCGTAATGATCATGGAAACTATCGTAAACGACGAGGCAACGGTTTCTGAAATTAAAGTAAATGGCTATTTCCTTATTAATTTAAACATAATTTAAGTTACATTTTATATTGTGACATCACGTGAACATATCATCAATGTAATATAGCTTTCGGATTGTAAAGTCTACTCTGGGCCCTAGTAGACCCCCTAGGCCTAGCCTAGTAGTAGTAGCATGATCGCATGCTAGGGCCTAGGCCTAAGCCGAGACTAATAATAATATTGTAATGAGTAGGACCATGGCCCAGGCCTACCTTAACCATAGGGACCATAGGGGCCTAGGCCTAGGGGCCTAGACTAGGCATAGACCAAGTTAGGTTATTTTAAGCGTAGGCTCTCCACAAAAGCATCACACAGAAATGTGCATACATAGGCTAGGCCCTAGCTTTGTTTTTAGGCCTAACCTAGGCCTAGCTAGAAGGGTTAGAAGCAAATAAGAATCAAGCCAAGTAGACCTAGTAGTAGTACACAAAATTGATTGATTTAAAAGAAATACCATACTTTGAAAATGAAGTGGAGTGGTAAAAGTAGATGGCACAGTGGGAATGGTTTAATTTTTCCAACCGTGAGGTCAGGGCTTCAATCAGTGGCAGCGGAGGCCGGGGTACCGGGGAAAGTGCCCCGGGACCCAGGCCCAGCAAGGGCCTGCGATAACTAGGTAAAAAAATAAAATAAAAGAAATAAATAAAGATTATTAAACGTATACATTTATCCAGTATCATTCATGTGTTTTTTCCACGAGAATTGTCAATCTGACCGTTTATTGATTGGTAATTAGTCGCTTCTAATTCTTTTTCATGAATATTTTCATGACTTCTACTACTCTAGAGTTTATGTTTACAATGTATCAAGTTGTAAATTGTTTACGTTATTAATTTATAGTTAAAAAAATCTTGGACCCCGGACAACGGCAATAATATACATACAAGTTAGAAAATATGAATAGACCTGATAGAGGATTGATTGCCAAATAAACACAGAATTAATATATTAAACCAGCGGCGGACTTAAGGTGGGGCCCGGCACCCACCTCCTAAAATTTTCAAATTTAGCAAAAAATTAGAAAAAAAGAAAATTCTACTCAATAAAGTGCCATTTTCGGCCATTTAGAGGTGCCATAATCATAAATTGTCTTACCTCAGTCATCATAGTGGGGCTGAGGTAGATAGACCGTCCATTGTGAAAGTCCTTCTCTGGGCCCCTTCTATTTCAAATCACTATAAACTTTGATACCTATGTTATGAATCCTTTTAGCACGTTTGAATAAAAAGGAAGAATATAGCTTTTACTTTTCTTGTTTCTGTACTTTATTTTTTATGACCTTGTAAAATTATAATCGATTAAATTAGTCCTCTAATCCGTTTAGATTAGGCTGTAACTTCTGAGGGGAGGGGGCACCAGGTATCTGCCCCTCGATCTCACTGGGGCCCCAGGTGGTTCCCAGACCCCCAACCAATGGGCCCGGGCAGCAAAGATGCCCCGGGGCCCGCAGCCGCTCTCGGCGGCCCTGGTTTCAATCCATCTGTCTGTGCATTTCTCTTGTGTCCTTGAGCAAAGCACTTTGACTATTGCTTGTCCTGTCAGCCCTTATGGTTGCCTGCTCTTGCGCTGATTGTGGACCCAATCAATGACCTGTGAAAGAAGCATTTCATATTTGCAAAGAAAGGTGCTCTAACTAAGTTATTCAACTCTATTTCCACCAGATTTCAAATGCCCGTCTGCCAGACTGTATAGCAAGACATGCGCGAGAAAATTTTGGAGAAAAAGGGCCAGTTTTCCACACACATATTGCCGAAAATTTGGCTTTGACCCAATCTTATATAAACAATGTATTATGCGCAGTAATTATGAATGATTCTGTGCACCTTTTTTCCTAACGATACTCCATGCAAATTGAAGCTGGTTTTTGAGGTATCATATGCGCAATTATAAAACTTTGTTATACTGTTCTGAATTACAGATTAAATTCAGAATTCAAATTTTAGACCTATTAGAATTTGTAACATGAATGAGATATCCTCCTCTCAGATTAAACTAGATTAAACAGAATTGACCTTTTGTGTTTTTCATGAATATTTTGATATTTATAAATGATAATAAATATTTTCGATTTTATTGTAAAGTTTTATCGTATTGAATTTCATTGTTAATGTCAATTTTTATAATGATGACAATAATTATTTTCCATTTTAAGGTAACTTTTTTATATATTTTATTGCCACCCTTTTGTAATTGTGACTTGCAATTTGGCCACTGGCCATGATCTGTTACAAATGAGGATTTTGAATTTTGAGTAGAATGAAATATATATATGTATATACATTGACTGTTAATGATTTTGAACTAATTTTATTATTTTTCCAACAGAAATGTGAAGAAGTGTATAATGCTGAATTATCGAGAGGTGTTGTTACTACTACCTCACAATTTCAATATGCGTGGTGCTTGGTTCGCAGTAAGTACTCAAATGACATGAAAAAGGGCGTGGCATTATTGGAGGAGCTGAGCCACGCTAGCCATCAGCAACTGAAACGCGATTGTTTCTACTATCTTGCAATAGGAAATTACAGATTAAAGGTACCTTAAATAGAATTTCCTACATAAAAAATATTTGACAGTGAAACAACCATATTAGTGAAGAAAATATATATATATATATATATTTTTTTTTTATAATCAAATATTTGGGATCAATGGGTTTTGCTTTTGTGGGAGTTGAAGTAAAAAGTTTTGTGTCACAAATATCCGTGATTTCCACATGTAATCATGGCCATGATAATGTCATATATCACACCCATATGGCAAAATCTTTTTGTCACATTAAACCTGTTAGTATGGAGAGAGCTTGTCCTTCTCAATGTACAGTGCTTCAGTACTGATGTAGTTATTTGACTTCTTGAATAAAAGCCTTATGGACACCAACTTAAGAAGCAGCACCATCTCGAGATGAAGCGCCCTCTTTAGTTTGTAAAATAATAATGATAATAATAGTATTAGCTAGATTTGTACAGCGCTTTACACTAGAGTCTTAAAGCGCTCGAGGTGTGGACTAGCTCGTACATTAACTTTCTTCTCCCGTAAGGGTCTCTTCATGTCTGTCTGAGCTACCCAGTAAACTGGTGCCAGCTACTCTTGTCTGTCCACATTAGGGGCTGTATGGACAAGTACACCGCCTTAACCCCATGGCCATTTGACTCGTCAGTAATCTAAAAAAGAAACCCATCTCGACAAAAGCCTATGGGCTTCTATTCAAGATAGTATGGACTTCTTTTCCAGGTAGACTTATTATACTTTAAAAGAATAAAAAAAAAAATAGTATAGGTAATTTAATGCCGATTTAAATACCTTCCATGATACAGATTGATGTTCTCTCTGATGTAATTGGATGAGAATTAAAAAAATATATATATTTTCTTTGTTTTTTTTAAACAGGATATCATGGTTGAAAAATGTTTTCAGTGGTGCTATTGTTTTATAGTAGTAATTCCTAAAACCTACAGCAATCATTTTAAATAAAAGCACCCTTTTTACTTTCCAAAAGTATCAAAAAAGAAGCCCATCTCGAAAGGAAGTCAAAAGGAGCCCATCCAACAGTCCTAAAAAAAAAAGAAGCCCAGGGCTTCTATTTGAGGTTTTATGCTAGGTGGGGATTATTCTTTGTCATGAGTAGATATTCAACATAGATCCTTGCACAAGGGGATTGAAGTGTATAGTTACCTTGCCTGATGCCCCATTGATGTCTGACGTTTGAGTTTCCTATTTATTTCAGGAATATACACAAGCATTGAAGTATGTTAGAAAGGTTAAAGAAATGGAGCCGAAGAATCGACAAGCATTAGAGTTGGAATCTCTCATCAAGAAGAAAATGAATCAAGGTAATCTATACTGCCCAGTGATGAGGAGGGGGGATCCTGAACCCCCAAGTCTATACTGGCCAAAGGTGGTAACAACAGGAATCTGGGGTAGGGGGTTAGGCGTTGAGATCCTGAATCCCCTCTTAGAGAAGAAGCCAATCAGTTTGTCAGGGAACATTGCTTTGGAAAATCATATACAGTAGTCTGGGAGTGCAATTTCCAGGCATCTAAATGTGACTATTCTTATAATTTGCTCACCTCAAAACTACTATGGTGGGGCTGAGGTGAGGGACCTTGGGACCCTTGTCCAGGAGCTCTCACAGGAACCAATTGAAATTTTGAAAATTAGCAAGCAAATTTCTTTTCTCCTTTTTCTCTCCTTTTTTTTTCTGAATCTGCCCCTGTAACTCTGAGATAGAGACAAGCAATTTAGGTAATGTGCCTTATCAACTATCAAATATCTCAGAATTATTGAACCATAATACACTACTTAAATTGAAAGTCTTAAAAAGCCACAGTGTAAAAAAAAAAAATAAAAAATTAGGTTATCTTTTGTCTCGAAGCAAACTATGGTGTGTGTGTGTGTGTGTGTGGTTAAAAGTGTTTTAAAACCATGAATAAGATATTATTACACAATATTTTAAATACTTAATATCTTTGTTACTTTGTACAAAACATTAAATGGGTGACTCAGAATCATAGTATAAAATGTTTTTCAACAAAAAATTTACTTCTATTTACAACCCTTCATATTAAAGAAACTCCATATCACTTTTCTCCATTTATTAGGCCCAAAAAAAAAAAAAATTGTTTTGTTGGCCTCCGCAACCGACCGAAAATTTCCAAAAAATTGGGTTGGCATTTTTTTATTTTTTTAAAAATTTTGTTTAAAGGTCTTCCTTTCACTCAAGCAGAAATTCAAAAAATTCCGCTTCTGAAATTAACATTTAGAACATCTAAACAGACATATATTTGTACCAAAATCGGGCCATAGATGGACGTTTAAAATCGGTATAATAGAAGGCATAATTTTGAGAACCGAGCGCAACGACGATGTATGCACACAGCATCGGATCTCCTACTCGCGGTAAGCTCTGTCAAGTCACGACCAGATCTAGGCCTAGCCTATTTTTTACTGCTGCACAACTCATGGTTGCTTCAATCAAAAATTGGACAATATATTAAAACAGGCTTAGGTCTAGCCATCGCTTTAAAGCCGGCTCCCTTAGGCCAACCATAAACGAAATATTTTTCATTTTTTTCTTGAAGTTTACTTTGAATGTATAGAGGCTGCTTGTTTGGACATTTTTCACAATGGTTTTGCTCGACCTACCCATGCGTGTTTGTGTGGATCGGATACACAAATTATTTTACGTTTCAAAACCAAAAAAATCTTTCTTTAAACTGATTTATTTTTGTTAAATTTATTTCAATATACACTTGGATAGTACTTATTCCGTCATTACTTTAAATATTTTTTGTTCGACAAGCTTGCCATTGTTCTATTGTGGTGCCTATGATATGAGGTCGTAGGCCTAGGGTCTTCATAATAGGGACTGCAGTTTAAGGACTATCCTATTTCAGGTAGGCCTATTACTAAAATACTAAAAAAAACAAAAAATAATCCGACCAGACTGACGATCTCAATTTTTTCCATTCAAGGGCAACACAACAATTTTTTGTTTGCCTTATGTTAAAAATCACAATAGTTTTTTTTTATTTTCTAACCACGGAAACAGTAATAGGCACTAAATGAAATAATGATGATAGCCCAGATTCATATTTCACACAATAAATGAACAGACAAAAACAATGGCCTAGACTTGTGGTATATAAGAAGTGATTTTTTTTTTAACTTTAACCTCTAACTTGAAAAACATATTTTAAACAAAGCTCCACCATCCTTTGTTTGGGTGGTAACAATCACTTGTTATATTGACATTAATGCCCACATGTAATAGTATGTGGAAAACAGGAAGTTTGTTCTGTCTGTAAAGATAACATAACCACCAAGCCCAAGAAAACTGATGTATAGATTGTGTCAGAATTTACATTGTAACACTTACAAGCTCAGTCACAGTTCAGTTTATCAAATTCTTGTAAAGTATTTATTCTGTGATCAGTTGGAGAGCGAGCCAATTATAGGAAGGGGAGATAAGAGTGTTTAAATTTTATTCCGGATTTCAAACTCTTCGGTGAATCGAGTGGTAGAGCGGTATGTCATGGGCAGCCCCTAAAGCTTGGTTGCCATAAAATCACTCACCATTATGATTGGCGACAGTTGCTGACGGTTGTCGGGAAGGATGAACCTGGTTTAACTTTGCTGATTGCATTGCAGAAGAATCAGGGTGGATTGCTAGCTGCCCTGACGCAAGATTCATCTGCAACGCAATTAGCAAAGTTGAGCCAGGTTCAACCTTCCCGACAACTCTCAGCAACTGTTAGCGACTGTTGCCGATAGGGTGAGTGATTCTATGGAAATCGAGCTTAAGTACAGCTTTAACATCGCCACTGGTTCCAGCTGCTCCTCGTCCAGGTTGCGGTTGGTAGAACCAAGTCTTCTTGGATAAGTGGAGGTCCAGTGTGCACATCTGGCTCTATGCACTTTAAAGAACCCATTGCATCTTTCGGAAGAGTAAGCGGTTACTCCGATGCTATGATCCATTTCGGCCCCTGTGATTTGAACATATATCTACTATAAATGCCGCTTTACGGACGCTAAGTAGTCACGGACCACGTCGCAATTCAGCACAATGACGCTGGAGTTATTGGTTATTCTACCTTTACCTTTATAGTGGAAGGGTGCCATCATATGAAATCATCTATTGCCATGCCAGCTGTGAGACATGATGATGTTGATGATGATGATGATTATGAAGATAATGATAATAGTGATGATAATAGTAATGATGATGGTGTTATTGAGGAATGGTAATGGTGATGCTGGCAATTCTGAATAGAAAAAGGTGAGATAGAAAATGTGAGATTAGAAACAGAGTTGACAAGCAGTGGGAGGTGGGGTTGGAAAGGTGGGGTGTGAAGGATTTTATATAGAACTGTTTTAGTAGAATTAGTGGGAGTGAAAGGTAATGGGAAAGGTAAGATTATAGAAATATTAGAGGTTGGAGAGAAAAGATAGAATGGAAAATGTAGGATGGAAATATTGGTTTGGAAAAGTTGGGTCAGAAAGATAGGGGTGGGGGAGGTGAAGGGTAAATGATGGGATGAAATATGTAGGCTTGGAGAGGTGGGAAGAAGCTTCAATAATCATGTATTAGGCTACCATTTATGTTAATTATTAAAATGTTGATACTATATTTATTAAAGTAAAATGAAATATTTAATAATTAGATCATCATCATTTTCATTAATAACATTATCTTGATATTGTATTAAATCAAATTATAACTCTGCTTTGTTGTCTTATCTCTAATGTTTGCTGACCACCATCATCACTGATGAATGATTTTTTTGTGTGTGTGAGGCTCAAGATGTGTTAAATCAAAATTCCCTTTAGTGCTCCGACCCATTTTTATGCCCATCCATAATTTATACTCTTGAAACAAAGAATAAAATTCCACATTAATCAAAATGTTTTATTTTTTTATTTTTCAGAGGGTCTTGTTGGAATGGCAATAGTGGGCGGTGCAGCTTTAGCACTCGGTGGTCTAATAGGGGCTGGTTTCGCACTCAGCAAAAAATAGGATATCACAGCAATAGTGGAAAATTAGTACTTTTTAACTCATAACAACTATAATACACTGAGGATTTATATGTAAATAATATTTGATTTTAAGTTAAGCACGTACCGGACCAATTTTCATTTTGTTCCGAATGGTTCAACTAGCAGAGTATCTAGACTGAGTCAAGCATGATAGCCAAGTTGACAGAAACACAGACTGAGTTCAGCTCTAGGAGAGAAGTAAACCACAGATTTAAGAAGGGGTCTTGGAAAATTGCATTGCCTTGTAATACCTTTCTGTATGAGGGTTTCTTTTGTCCGAGGGGCAAGTTGCGAGTTGGAAGTTGCGAGTTAGAAAATGCGAGCAACTCTTTTTCCAACTCGCAACTAGCATTTTCCAACTCGCAACTCACATTTTCCAACACGCAACTCACATTTTCAAACTCGCAACTCACAATTTCCAACTCAAAACTCGCATTTTCCAACTCGCAACTCGTTTTTTCCAACTCGCAACTCGCATTTTCCAACTTGCAACTGGCACTGAAGTAGCAATCTACAGTATGGACCTTTCTGAATAATCAGAACAGAATGTTGTTTGATCAGAACAGAGCATGGAATGGTATGCTTGTTTCACTCGTATGTCTCATCCCAGAAACGCAAAGTTACCGTTTGTCTCCATTTCCCTCTGTGCTCAGTTCACATTGATAGATTCTTTCAACATATTTTGCATATTTGTATTCTATTACTAGTGCTCAGTTTCATTGTTAGATTCTTTCAACATATTTTGCATATATTTGTATTTTATACTAGGTTCAGCATAGTTATTGGTGTTGGAAAACAGTTTGCGTATCTTGGTAACGGACTTGGTAACATATACCACCATATTGGGTTGTATAAGGGCTGCAATGTGAAAATTAGGGATGTAGTTTAGTGTGGAGGGGTGGGGAGAAAACATCTTTTTAGGATTTTTTCCCATTTTTTTTTTTACCTTTAGCTTCAAAACTGAGGTTAAAGCAAGCAATAATTTCATACATTTACATAAAAATTATATAAATAATGATTATGTTGTGATGGGCAGCTGTATTTTATACTTTACCTTCATGTCATTTATTTTTTTCGTTTGTACATATCTCCAAATTTAGAGATATATAATCATAATATACACTATATGCAGTTTAATTGTTAATATGTATTTTTTTTTTAACTTTGGAGAACCACCTAACTTTTTGGCTAATTATAATTAATCTATCGAATTTAATGATTCGCTCATTTTGAAATTTTTTGCTTTTATTAGCTTTTGCAATGGAGCTTCCTGGAATGTCAATCAAATTTTAAAACTGACCAATCAGAACATACATTGACACTATTGTGTTGGGGACCTTAGCAACAATATCCAAGGGGCGGGGCTTTATAGCGGAATGTTCCATTGTTGATGCTGTTTAATGTGCAACCCTTTATTCCTATAAAAAAAATTTAAATATATTAGTATACTATATAACTTTATTTATTTTATGTTTTGGATTTGTATAATGCACATACTTTTTATCCCGACCTGGAATTCCGAAGGCTTTTCAATGCACCACACACTTCCACCCATACCGTAGAGGTTGCGAAATAATGAGTGAGCTTCCTTTGATGATGCTAACAGCCATGGATCCAAAAAGGTGGGTGGGGAACGTGCCACCTGTTTTGCCACTAAATTTTAAAATTTCAATGCATATCAATGTTATGTATTAAAATAAGTGCTACTCGCTTATCTATTCTGAATGTTGTGCCTCCATCTCCCCCCCCCCCATTCATACATATATGTACAGCAGGAAGGAAAATGATATAAACAAATATGATTACTATTTGAATTACATTGTTGTTATAGTGTCATCTTGTGAGTTATGGCTTGTTGCCACTTGGCCAATTGCCACCAACCACTACCACTAAGCCTAAATTCCTTTTCCACCCTAAACCCTGTTACCATCTGGCTGATTGCCACCTGGCCCATTGCCACAGTAGTTTTTGTTTTGCCACCACATGCCTGGGCCCATTGCCAATGAGGCTTGTTTACCACTCTTCAGAAAAATGAAATGGCAAATACAGTATTTGATTAAAAATTTGCTTGACAATTATTTAGACTCAATTTTCAATATACCTACTCGTTGCTAATTTTACCTACAATAAAACCTTTAATGATGATGGTACTGTAATAATGAACGCAAATAACAGGACAGATATGTTGGTGTTGATGGTAATGACAATGATAATTACTTAAGACGGATCGTGCTAGGGTGGTGATGGTGAAGGTTTATGCCAATAAGCAGACGGTAAAACCCCGGTATGCTTCTTATAGGCACATAACCCCTATTGAGCTCGAGGTGGTGTCCGAAACAAGGCTTATGTGTCTGATTGTTCAGTCCAATCTTTGATGGAAGTCTCACCTAAATAACATTATTAGTAAAAATCCTGTGACACTCCAGGTATCTCAGATCACGACATGCTGGTTATAGACAACAGGCCCGTATCCAGGGGTTTTTTTTTATGGTTCGGGAGAACCCCCCTTTTCTGCAAACCCCCTCTTTTCTGGCGAAACCCCCTCTTTAAATTTCCCAAATACGTCCTCCAACCCAACTAATGCACTGCAGACCCACCCAGACACAGACATTTTCAAACATATCTGCTTTTATAGCATTATTTAGACCCATAAAGCACAAAAATTCCATTGCTTTGGGGGTTTCGCCGACCCCACCGGGGCTTTGATCGTCGACCTCACGCCCAAAAATTCCCCCTTGGAAGAACCTGTCTACGGGCCTGCTCGTGCCTGGGGGGCCCTGCCGCTCCGCACTTCTCCGTCAGCGCCTGAGCGTGACGCCACTGACTTATTTGTTCTAGTGGTGCTCATTCAAATGTAATGGTATAGTCTAGATAGTCTAGCTTAACTATCGACGTACTTACAGCAAGCGCCAAGGACTTCATCAATAGGTGGCGCAAAATCAATATTAAGGGTTTTCATGGTAGTATTTTTGTAAAGGAATAATAATTTAAATAAGGATTCGAGATAATAATTGTCAAATATTTAGATTAACATCAGATAATGATATGATATAATATAATAATCTCAAATACTTTTTGCGGTAATGCATACAGTATATTATACCCTCAATCATATTCCATACCATTATCATGTCATATTATCTAATCATAGGCCTGCATATATCATCGCATCACATCACATCTTATCATATTTTATTATATCTTACATTATCATATCATGTATCATGTCAAATTAGCAAATATCATATCTCATACGTTGAATTATACCATAGCAAATCAAATCATATTATATCGTATCATTGTCCTTTTAAATGTTATACAATATATAAAAATTAAAATTCAATCCGGTTTTATTAGATTAGCGGTGGGAACACAAATAATGTATAAATCAAATAGATAACAATACAGTGTTAAAAGAATATGTCAATATGTTAGACTTATATAGGCCTAGCGCTTAACGCCAACAAGGTCTCTAAGCGTTATTCCATAAGTTGCAGCAGCTACATCAGCGCATTTTGGCATTTAACCCTGCCAGGTACCCACTTGTAGAGGCAATGTGGATAAAGTGCCCTGCCCAAGGACACGAGTGATATGCACAGCGAGGGATTGGAACCTCGACCTTGAGGTTAGGAACCAAACCGTTCCCACTGCGCCAAACCACTTCTAATAAAACCACTTCTAAATATAAAGGAACATAAAGTTATAAATCGTGTCAAACATTCATCAACGAAAGTTCCTTATTACAGTTATATGAAAATAGAAGTATATATAGTATATATATATATTATTATATATATATAATTATATATATAGTCATATTGCTCCATGTGAAACAAAATTATCAAAAACGCAGAGCTAGGCCAAAACAATTGTGTTGACCACGTTTTTGGGAGAATCCAAAAAACGGGTAGCTTTTTTTTTAAACAACCAAATGTGTATAAATGCCTAAAAAGTAGACAATACACAAATAATACAACAATTTTGGATTCGCATCGCGTACCTTCCAGCAAAATTGGCTAGCCTTGGTGCCCAGCCTCGCCAAGGCTATTCCAGCCTTATTTGCTCATAAAAAATATCGTTCGTTGTCCAAAATAAATAAATATAATAATAATAAAAAATAAATAAATAAAATGCCGATCCTTAATTTCGTAAAATTTGGGTCGGTCGGGCGTGGTCAACACAATAATTTATTCAGGAAATGAATATTTCGTCTTGTCCTAAAGACTTCATCACTCTATAACCTTGCAGTCTATAGATTTGAAATAAAAAATAAAGCATATTTTCATGCCAAACATATTTTTCAGGGTCGCTGGACGTTTCTTTGTGCTTCATTGTGTACTTTATTCGAACAATGTATTTACCTTTCTTTGATGATGTATATATAAATGTTCTATATAAATCAAGATAACCGCTAACACTTTTAAATTCCATATAGGCCTAAATAATAAAGAAAGGTAAATACAGCGTTCGAATAAAGGACTGTGTTATTTATTTGAACACTGTATTTACCTTTCTTTGATTATTTATGCCTATATGTAATTTAACAGTGTGAACGGCTATCTTGATTTATATAGAA